TGGCTGTAACTAGTCTTTTTGTAAAGATAATCATACTTTGTCTTAGAGTTTTGTAAAGCTCAAAGACTCAACTTTGAGAATATGAAACGGTTTTTTGGAAAAAAATTGCGTAAATTATGTGTAAATTCAATTTAAAACAAAAAAGAATTTTTCCTATGTTAATTAAATGGGAAACTAAAATAAAAATAGCGACCCCTTAGATTTGAGCTATAGGGCTCATGTTTGGCGACGATTTTTTTTTACATCAAATAGAAACATTTGAGGGGGTAAGAGTTAGAAAAAAAAATTAAAAATTTTGTTTGAAGCACCCTACATTGTATATAAGAATTAACTTTTTGCACATTGCATTCAATTTCTCAACGCAGCGGTTTTCTAATTGTGAAGCGCACCCCCTGGGGGAGAATTGTCATTTTTTTCTGACTGTATTTGTTCAAAATTATTGCTTAATTTTCTCGAATAAGTCTAAAGGCATCGATGTGATTTTATATTGTAGCTGGATCAAAGAAATTTATTTTGGACTTATAGGATTGACTCGAGCGTAGAAATATTTATTCCAAATGATCATGTTGCTTTGAAACGGAGTGTACATATTGTATGGAAATTTGAATTATTTAGATTCTGTTGGTCATTAACATTGAATTGTGCGTTTTGTTTGCAATTGAAGATGTTTTTTTTACGTCGCTTCCGGAAACGGGTTATATTAATCAACTGACCTGGTTGAACAATGAACGTATATAAGACGTGTATGAACGTGAATTTAATAGAAATATTCGAAGTACAATATGTCTCTTTGCGAATTCATTGGCGTCACGTCGTCGAATAAATAGTAGTTTATGCATACTTTTGTGTGAATTTAAGCGTTAGCACCTTGCTGACGGTGCAGAACTATTTTAATTAGCTCAATAGAGGAAAACCGAAAATGAATATGAATGAGCAAATAAATCTAAATAGGAATTAGTTTATTTATCCAAATTAACTAGACTTGCCATTGTCCTGAAATTTAATTTCTTTGCAGTCATCATTGTAAGGTCGTCGGTACGAAAACCTCCACTTCTTCTTACTCTGAATTAATCTTCGCATTTTCCGAATAGGTGGAAACTATTAGAACGTCCTAAATTCCTATTTGTGAACAACATTCTAGTGTAGGACCTTTTTTGCCCCCTTTACTCTTTTTTTTTTTGTTTTTATAGCTTGTGTTACATGGTGGATGGATTACCATCACATGTAACGGGTCCGACGCGGTTTACAGCGGGAAAGCACAGCTTGGTGCGGGAAATTGCGGCTTCGAGCGGAAAAGCGCGGCCTGGAACGAGAAATCTGGAGCCTGGAGCATTATTTAAACTTTTTTACATACACAACATAATTCTATATTACCCTTTGCAGAGATAGCTTTAAATAAAATGGAAGCGGTACTGACAGATCAGTACTGTATGAAAATAAATAAAAGTAAAACTAAAATACTGATATGCAAGGGAAGAAAAAGTTGGGAAAGAGCGAATATAAAGATAGGAGACGAAAAATTAGAAGAAGTGGCTGATTTTAGATACCTAGGAAGTCAGATAAGTGAGGATGGAAGGAGTAGTAGGGATATAAAGCAGAGGATAGCGCAGGGTCGTGTCGCCTTTAATAAAAAGAAGTCACTTCTATGCTCGCGAACGGTTAATTTAGAAATTCGAAAAAGGTTGTTAAAGGTGTATGTTTGGAGCACGGCGTTGTACGGGTGCGAAACATGGACAGTGGGAGCGGCGGAAAAGAAAAGGTTAGAAGCGTTCGAAATGTGGTGTTATAGGCGGATGATGAGGATATCGTGGGTAGAAAAGGTTAGAAATGAAGAGGTATTGGAAAGAATAGGAGAACAGAGGACTCTATGGAAGTCAATAAAAAATAGGCGAGATAGGTTGGTAGGACACCTTCTCAGGCATGAAGGTCTAGTCAGAGACATATTAGAGGCAGAAACAGGAGTTAGGAGGGGTAGAGGTAGACCTAGATTAGATTACTCTTCGCAAATAGTTAGGGATGTGGGCTGTTCTAGTTTTAGGGAAATGCGAAGATTAGCTCAGGATAGGAAAGAGTGGAAGTACGTGTCCAACCAGTCTTAAGACTGATGACCTTATGATGATGACCCTTTGTACATGTTTATGCAAACTGAAAAAGATATTTGACCTTGTATCAGATTAGATTTGATAACTGATTCCTTTGACGTTTATCGACAATGCTCGGGGAAGGACGCGCCAGGACGTTCCTTCAGGCTTGTGTGAATTCGGTATCTAATCGTTTATTTTACACTTTACAAATCTAAGAAGAATGTGTTTTTTATCAAATTCTGTCGAATTGGGTGTCTGTTAACTATTAAATATTTTCGAATCATCTTTCTAAATGTGCAAAAAATTTTTATAAATAGGTTTCATTGAATCCGCTAATACAAAGCATATTTCTTATTATTTTAAGTAGGTTATAAAAGAAATCCTACGGCACTTTATTCATTGTTTGTTAACACTTCGAAACATAAAAGAAACGTTCAATATTGTATACTTTAAAAAGGTCTACAAAAAAGTCCGGGAATGTATATATATCTATCTCTTAGGGATAACCCACAATAACCATTTTTTATCCTTTACTTTTTACGAGAAATAATGGCTTATTTACGAAGCGATTTTAAGCAATACAGCATTAATCTTTATCCAATTAATATATTGTGCATTTAATATAGATCAATATGGCCTTTTACAGCATGTAATTTAAATGAATATTTTCGAAGATATTACAGACTTAAAATGAAGGGACATAGCGGTTGCGGCGGTACGCCAGTTTTTTATTGTCTAATGACAAAAAAGCTGTGAATGTTGTATAGAAAGACATTCTATAGTATATTTACTATCAGCATTGCACCCGTGCGAAGTATAGTGTACAAATAATACCATTAAACCAATTTCTTAACATAATTAATCAATAACCTTAACATACCGGGATAGGGTATGTTTGAAGAAGTTTCACTTTAGTGGCGTGTTGTATAATTACACGTTGTATTGTTTTTAAAACAGTGGTAATGTTAATTTTTTATTTTTTGTTGTCAGGGTTAAAACGTAGTAAAGCAAACTAAAAATTTCAAATATTGAAAATGTTTTTGTTCCGAGAAAAGAATATATTAAAGTTGCTCCAAATAGTTTAACTTATAAATCCACTGGAAGTAATAATTTTTCGTGGTATTGGTCTTGCATAATCGGTGTTGTTCTTAGTTATGCTAATATAAAGACAGTCTTAGTCTTGCATTTTCGTAAGACAAAGACTGCAAAACTAAGACCAACTTTCCTGATCACTAATCGCAATGAGTGAGCAAGAGAAAAACTGATGATTACCTACGGTACAGCTAATCAATAACGAGTTGGTTTATTCTAATTGAACACCACAGTGTCATATAACAATGACAGTATTGTTTTACAATAATAACAAGCAATAACCGGATACAGTGACCGCAGACAAAATGTGTTTGTTTTTTACAGTTGTGCTGCAAAAATGAATTGTTGTGAAGACAAGAAGAAACAAAGTACTAATGTTGTTATAACAATAATTGTGGATTCGCGTTAAACATGAACTTGACAAAATATTCCGTTGTGCGTAAATCGAAGGCATGTTTTCCTTGTTTTTGTTCAATTTTGATTTTTGTTTATCATTAGCAATTATTTATCCTTTTCAATTTCGTGTTAACTAATTATCATAGTATTATTACACACTGCACGTCATTTGCCAAAGCGTCATTCAGGGTACTTTATTTAGTTATTAATTAGTTTGTTTTGTTTGTTTAGTTGTCATTCTATAATTTTTTTCTTTTTTTCATTGCAGATTCTTTTTTTTAAGAAATGGCCTTGGTACTTCGATACGTAGACGATCTACATACGTTATTTAATAAACATGGGGGTAAGTTGCAATTAAAATATTATTTAAGTGAAATAAACAGATAGAATGAAAATTTTGCCTTTTGAAATTTTGTTATTGTTGTGACGCTGTTAAAATTTTTTTTGCTTTTCAGACTCCAGAACCGCCAACTTTCCACTCATGTCTAGTCCATTCTACACAGCAGCAATATGCCTTAGTTATGTATATATAGTAAAGGTAAGTCTTATTTATTACACAATTATAATTTTTGCTATAATAATTTGTTTCGGTAAAGGTCTAGATGATGGACCCCACCCCCGAAGGGGGTAGGAGTGGGTGGGATCGAAAGAGGAGGTCTCCCCCGCCACTGTACCATAAAAAGTTCGTCACGGTCTCACCCCCATAAAAAGTGATGGGGGTTGAAAGTTGATTATTTTGACAATTTTCATACACTATAATTAAAATAAAATTCAATAAAATAATTATGTGTTTGGTTTAATTAGATATCTGCCACTTAAAAACTACCTTTGCAAAGATTTCTGGGAATTGTGTANGATATTTAAATAATGTTTTATATAACTTTTTCAATATTTTTATGTATTTTTCATTAGTTTTACCTTTGAATATTGTTTAAGAATGACTATATAAATATTTACATGCCTAGAAATGTATAAAAATTGGCATATTTATTAATTTTGAACCCCCATAACTTTTTGGGGGTGAGACCGCCACTAACTTTTTATGGTACAGTGGTGGGAGAGACCCTTCGGGGGTGGGGGCCATAATCTAGACCTTTACCTTTGTTTCTTTTACTAAATGATTACAAGCTATACATAAAGTATACTAAAAATTGGATTATTGCGCTTTCAAATTTTTGAATATACTTATATGTCTACAAAATTTTGCGCACATAATGTCTATCAGCTTTATTCAAAATTGCTTGATCAAATGAGTTTTGGACAACTCAAATTAATCTAAAATGATTGTTTAATGATATAGTGTTAACATGCGTTAGTTTAGAGATACAGTGGATTTCGGGTATAACGACAACGAAGGGACCACTGTAATTTCGTCGTTATATCCAGAAGTCGTTACAGGCAAAGTTAAAGGACACACTGTTTTTCAATTTTGAAACAATTTTCGCCTTTTTGTAACATTTCACATTTGTTGACTATCTGCGTGAATTTAAACAAAAGATAAGAAAGCTCTTTGTGGCCGACTTCGGTCGCTATATCTACATGGAATTACTAGGGATTTGTTACAAATGATTCATTAAAAACAGTCGTTACACCCCAACTCGGCGTTACATCCGTAGTCGCTATAGCCACATGAATTTTGTACTAGTGTGCTTTAAATTCAAGGGACTTACATATGACGTCGCTATAGCACAATGGTTGCTATAACCAAGGTCGTAATAAATGAAATCCACTGTATTTCAAAATAGAATGTATGTACAGACAAATATACACCCGAATATAGACATTTAATGTTTAGTTTCAACTGTAAAACATCCAGATGGTTTTTAATTGAAAGTTTTGATTAAATAAAACCATCCTGGATAACGAAATAACCCATCTGTCATTTGATTAAACGTTTTAATCGTCAGCTCTAAAATGTTGTAATATCAGCTATACCAGTTGCACCGATTTTGCGTGCCTCCAAGACAAATACGCATTTTTTACTGTTTTCAAGTCGGACAAAATTTTACAGAATCCTAGCATTGAAAAATTTATGCTATTTCACGTATATTTTGCCGCTTTCCCATTTTTTTATGTTAAATGTTAATCGGTCGAATTTTTGCTTATTTCCACATTTTATTGTTGTGTATGGCTTGACGGCTCGGTTACTCCCTCAAAGTCGACACTAGTAAACAATTACATAATAGCTAATAAATAATTTATAAAGGTATCCTAGATCACTCCTGATAATCATGATAACGGGAGCTTCAGTTAAACGGTAAATAATTATGATCAATTCTGTCGGATTTTTGTCACTGCGTAACTACCTGTAAGGACAAGATTCATGAGATTCTAAATTACCTCTAACAATCTCTACGTTTCATTTTAAAAACATTACGTCTTGAAATGTCCACACGTGGATGCTTTTAAGAAAATATACCTGTGCCTTTTTTCCACGTTCTTTAAAATTACGCGTGACGGAATTCGATTAAGAAAAACGATTTGAAACGAAAATGAGGTTCATTACAAAGTTCCCACAATTTTCTTGAATTACGTTCATTTTGTAATAAAACCATAGACATTATTACGTTGGTCACGTAAAATTGAATCAATTTCGTAAGAAAACTCGTGTAAAAAAAATGCATGAAAAGTGCATTCGTAACCAGCGGCATACATAATTTGCAAAATGTTGCACTTCTGTACTAAAATACTTTTTGTTTTATCACTCGTAGATACAGTCACTGACAAAATTATGAGAAATAACTTGTATTTTAAGATTGTGGAGCAAATTCCTCACATTTTTTTTTTTATTTTGGCTTAAATTAAGATCTCTTGGATTCATCGTAACGAAAAATTTATAATAGTGCGAACTAGCATATTGAGTTTATTAATAACTAGAATATATAGGTCACCATTTTTATAAATATCCCAACCGAAATGTGACTTTTGTACCGTGAAAAAATCCACTTTTATTGCCTATGCGCGATATTTTATGGCTTTTATTCTACTATACATAGGTACTGTCAGAGATGTGAAAAACAGTTGTTAGAATTTATCTATTTGTTTGACACAGAAGATGCAAAATATGAAACGGTTTTATTTCAAATAATATCTACTAAAGATAAAGTCGCTATTTTTTAAATACAGTCGAATTTGATTCTAAAGAACACGAAGAGACTAAAAATTATAGCCGAGTGTTGAGGAAAACTTATTCTGAATAAGAAAAGCGATAAAAAATACATAGCTATTTATAACAATTTGTAGAAGGTTCGGCATTAAAATAAAGTAAGAATTTTGAAACATTCTTACAAAGAAATATTAGTTCGTTATAACCTACCGAAATTCATTCGTTACATCAAACTACAAAAGCTTTGTTCTTTAAATGTCGTTTAGGGATTTTTGAGAGGTACAATCGGAGACAAGAATACATAAATTTAGAAATTCGTGATTAATTAGGTTTTGCAGCATATCATGAGGTAAATAAATACTATTTATACTAACAAAAAAAGTATACGGTTTGAGAGAAAATTTGAAATTTGACAAAAAAAATTGAATAAAATAAGAAATAACGAATAATATGGAAAATTTTTAACTGACCTTTAGCAGTGAATATGCCTTGATTTCAACCTCGAAACAAAAAATATTTAGTTTCAATCTCTATTAATAATGAGCGTAAACCTTTTTAATATGTTTAAATAATAATTAAAACTTTAAAATTGCATTTATTTCAGACAATTATAAATATTATCATTATATTATCAAGTAAAAACGATATTTTTAACTTTTCATTTTTTCCTCGATAACCATTTCGTGAATTTGAATAACCTTACGCTAAAGTGATTCTCCAGAGTTGAAGTTACTTATTATAAAAGATTGAAATTTCTGGTAGCTTTTTTTCTGTTAATAAAAATAAATTTAATCTGTTCGGTTAACGAATCTCCATAAAATGTCCTGCAAAATTACAATTTTTTAAAATTTCAATAACTTTTTAACGGTTTAGTGAATCGATTTGTAACTTTTACAGGATTTTAGAACGTTCTTCCAAATTTTTATTTGTCTCGTAGCATTTTGACATACCTCCCAAACATCCTTAAGACCAAGCATTTTGTTATAGTCTGTGTTCGTAATAACCGAGTTCTACTGTGTTTTTTTATAGTTAAAAATTCATTTTTATTGTTCTTTATTACTAAAATTGCCCTAATTGTGTAGTGTAAAGTTCATGCAGGGACTGTAGAACGAATAGTCGGGTAATTTGGTTTTTAAGGTGACAGTATTCATGAAGAGCGACAGTGGATAAGTTATCTTATGATGTTAGCTTTTTATTTTTATCAATAATTTTATGTGTAGTTAGTATGACAGCAGTTTGTGGATTCTATGGAAAAATGAATCAGTCATAAAAAAAATCTTAGTTGACAGTGGATACGTTTCCAATTATTTTCACAACTATAATGAGAACACTATGATGAGATAACTCAATTCAGCTTAACTAGGGTGGAAACAATACAATCGTACTTTGCATTTATCACTTTTAAATAAATAAAAATTGGTTGAAATACTGTATATAAAACCAAGTAGATATCCACACAAGTGGACCTTGTTGGAGGATACGTAATCCTAAAATGTAGCATCGTGCTACAGATGGCGTTCACTGGGCGACCTGTAGTATTTTCTAAAACGCACTGTTAAGACAGCAGGTAAAACTTGGTCTGTGTTCTGTCGGAGCTGCCTGCGTCGCGCTGATGAGATCCAAAAAGATCGAAATCGCGATCCGCATCTGGCAGTTTCGACAGAATACAGACCACTTCGAATTATTTTAAACCAAAACAAGTTAATATTTAGAAAAAGAAATTTAAAAGTGAAAATAAAAATGGCTATTTTACACATTTCATTTTAAATAGTATTGTTCCTAAAGAAATTAATTTGTATATTAAAAAATTCACTTTCTTATTCCAGGATAATCCCAAGCTTTATTGCGTTTTCGAATTGCCTTGATTATATTAATTTTATATGACGATTAAGTTCTGCGATTACAATAACGTGAATTTGTAACATAAAAATTTAGAAGTAGAATTTCTGTTACAGATAATAACGTTTGAATTCAGGTGTTTGCTTCATATAATAGGATGATTCTACTTAATAACATTCGAAAGAATTTTTAAAGTTAACTACGTTTGTTTCCAACTCGGTATATGTTTTAGATTTCTTCATGTTTGATGATCGATTCTAAATTCTTTTCAACTTTCAAAAATTTAAAAAAAAAAAACTTTCTCACGATAAACTACCATTAGTAGAGCTCTAATGAATGACTACAGTTTCTTCATCTATGCATTTTGTAAATTATTTTTGCTATTGTCAATTTAATAACAAACTGTAAAATAATTTCATTAATTCATTAGAACCTTACCAAAAAATGAGAATAAATGATCAAAAAGATTTTTTACTTAAACACCATTTTCCTAGGTGATTTATTTTTATTGTAAAAACAGATTGCACTGTACAATCACATAGAGTTGTTATTGTTTATTTCAAGATAAGATTCGTGTCAATGTTCAGAAAAAT